GCATCATGATGGCCTACTGCAGGGGCGCTCTCGTGTCGGGGAATTGAGTGCGGCTTCTCCTTCTTCTGGTTATTGTCTCCGCTGCCGCTCGTGAACTGTGACTGGTCGTTACGTTCTGGCTCCCCAGGTTGTCGCTACCCTCTACCCTCGATGGCCTTTGGGCTGTGGGCGAGCAGTGCGTGCCACCTGGGGCAGATCCAGCGGCATGGCGACGGGTGGGCACCTGAGATGCCGCGTTCTGACTCCCCAGGTGGTCGGTACCCTCAACCCTCGACGGCCTTTCGGCTGCGGGCGAGCAGTGCGTGCCACCTGGGGCAGATCCAGCATCGTGGCGACGTTTGTGCGTCTGCGATGCTGGACTGGTACTCTGCGTCGCACTTGTGCCCAACCCCGAGGAGCGGGCCAGTTGGGCATGCTCGATATCTGTATCTCGATCATCCACAGTCTCCTCTGTCTTCTCCTCCGCTGCCTTCTTGAGCCAGTTTGCCGAGGGTAACAACTGCCACGGCCAGGTATGGTCCCGCTCACATTGGTTGAGGAGGCTGATCAGGGTCTGCTTCCCTGCGGTGGGTAGTCTTTTCAGGTCCGTCGTGCAAATCATGTCCACTCCCTTTCCCTTGTCGGGTTCGCCTTTCGAGCACCTGATCAGGTCCTCGATGGTCCAGGGGTCGTGTTCATCGTCTTCTCGCGCATCTCGTCTGAGTTCATTCAAATAACCTTCGTGTGATGTATGGGGTGCATCTTCGCCTTCCCATAACTTTTGAAAATCAACAACATTCTGGTCGATCATATCCTTCGGGCTGCATATGGTGCCGTATTCAGTATGTATCTCATGCTCATGTCGGGGTGGCGGTTTATTGATCCGATGCAGTACTCCGGTGGTCTTCTCTGCTTGCGCCAACCATAGACTGTACTGCTTGCTGCTGTCCCGCATGTCTTGCTTGTGTGGTATCGTTTCCAGCGCTGCCATCCTATCTGCCCATATCTGCTGGTGGTGCATGTCAGTGTGCGAGGCTCCCTTCTCAACTGGTGGCAGTCCTTCCCGAACGAGGCGTCGTCCTGCGCTGGCGAGTGCTTCCTGCTGTTGAAGGCCTCGTCCGCGTTCTTGTAGTTTGACCAGGGTGCTCTGCACTGTGTCGGCCCTGTTCCACCAGTCTGTTCCACCAGTCAGCGGCGCTGTCTTGTAATCGTATGGGTGCCCACGCCCGCAAAATACTGCTCTGCCTGCCCAATCCACTTTGTAAGCCATGCAATAGAATTTCTCCAGCGTGCCGATGGACTGGTGGTGTTGTCGCCCTAGTCGTTCAGCACCGTTCAGGTCGGTCTTGTATGCTGCACTCTGCTTTATGTACTCGGGGGCTGTGTCAGTCGACTCCAAGGCTTGCAGTTGCGCTGCCACCTCCCAAGTATCGTCCATGATTGTGGTGTTCACCCCTGCTGCTTTGTCCGCGATCCGCTGCTGCATCGTCTGTGAGGAGGTCCTGTGGGTTTCCTTCGACAGGTCCGACGAGTTGGTCGTGGCTGCGTTTGGGTCGTGCATGGTCTCATCCGTGCTCTCCGCCTTTTGAGTAGTATCCTTCGCCTCTGGTGTGTCCCAGGCCCCTTCGCCATCTTCGGGCATGAGTATGTTGCTGTCCGTGTTGAGAAGGTTCGCATCCAGGTCGACGAAGGGGTCTATGTCCTCGCTGTCCATTTGTGTGACGACTCGTCTTGGGACGGGTCCGCTGGTCTCGACGTCAGCGATCGCCCCAGTCTGGTTTCTCTTATAACCGTCTGGTCCAAGGGCTCCCCATCTCGCCGTGTCGGTCTCGGCGGCCTCGTCATCGGAGAGGTTGTCCGATTCGTCCAGGACTGGTAGCGCTGCTTTCTTCTTCTTTGCTGCTTTGCTGTTGGGGTTGGCCTTCTTCGGCACCTTGGGGTGGGGAGATGCTTTCGGCATACATAATCTTCTGCATTCGTTCACCTGTGCTGCTGCCTTTATTGTAATAACCAGCCCCACATGTGGTTTCCCAGGTACATCGTGAACAGCGTGAATACCTCGAACAAGTCTCTGGCCTCCAGGGTTGACCAGGGCGTAGCCTATGTTCGGGGGGGTCGCGTCACCTAAGAAGGACGTGTTCTGGCCCTCTGGCAATTGGACCACGCCCGTTGCGCCCAGTGCCGTCGGCCACCCTGTCTTCTCGAGCGCGTCGAACTCGCAATTAAAGTCGCCGCAGATGATCCACGGCGTGGAGGTAGTATGTAGGAATGCCGCGAGCGAGGTCAACTTCCTGGCGTTTACCCCGTCGACGAGGGAGGCGTTCGGGTCCAAGTAGAGGGAGATGATGAGCAGCGGTGTGCCCTTCAAGTGGAGCGTGACTGGCGTCCAGTCGATCGTATCCATGTCGCACGGCCCTTGGAGAGTAGTCACACTCGAGGTCGTGTCTGCCCGTGCCTTGTGGCGGAAAGAGGTAGCCTTCAGGTGGCCCTTGGTGATGATGGTTGTGCCACCGTGGGACCCCTTCAGGCTCTTCTCGCTCTGCCTGGCTTCCGTGAAAACTGCTGAGAACCCAGATTTCTGCAGCTCGTATTCCACGTCATTGAGTTGTGCCTGTGCCAAGTGTGTTTCCTGTAGCGCATAAGCATCATAAGATTGCTGAAGCCCGTCGCGTCGGATCCAACTCTCGGCCGTAGGTCCCCACGTTGATATGTTGACGAAAAAGATCGTGCGGTCCAGGGGCTCGGCGTCGCCAACGGGTCGCCTGCCCCTCCGCGGTGGTCCCTAGTGCTGGCCTGAGCCAGCGCTTGCCCCTCCGCTGCCGCCAGCTGCCTCCTCCGCCTTCCTGCGCTGCTCCAGGAAGGCGTCTGCTCCGTCGACGAGGATGTCGTCGGGCTCGCCTGCAGGTGTGGGTGCTGCTGCTGGTGCTGGGGCCGCTGCTGGAGCTGCCTGCGTCTCCTTCGATGTTTCACCTGAGCCCGCCTTCCGCTTCTTGTAGGCCTGGGTGATCGTGGCGCGCTCCTGCTGTGCTTTGTCTTTCGCCTGCTGCAAGTGGTCTTTCAGCTGGCCCCTGAAGGTTGATGCCGTCTGCCGTAGATGCTCCAGGACTTGCTTCTTCGCTAATTCCACTTGCCGCTTTCCTTCTTCATCCATGTCCTCGTCGTACTGGAAGTGAGCCTCGACCTCGGCGATCTCGATCTCCGATGGCTGGATCATCTCCGTGTCTGCGTTCAGCAGCTGGTCAAAGATGCTCTTCGGCTTCTCCTTGCCCTCCTGCTGGATCATCTCTATTTCCTTCTCCGCGTTCAGGACGTCGTCGGCACTGGCCGTGAGCCACTCTGTTGCCTTCTTCGCCTTCTCGTCCGCCGGCTGCTTTGCATCGAACGCCCATTTGTACTTTTTGTTCGCGTCCTCGAGTTTCCTTGCTGTTTCTGCCAACCGTAGTGCTCGGGACTTGGGAACCTGTGCTGGGGAACTCGCCGCAGCTTGGAGTGCCGTGGCCACACTCGTAAGCTGCTTGGCGATGCCGTCTTTGTTGTCGCACTGGAGGGTGGCCAGGGAGCTCGTCATCGTCTGCAAGGCCGTGGCTATCTGCGCGAAGCCCTTTTGGTTGGAGCCCGTGGCACCGTCAGTACGGCACTGCTTGTCTTTGTCCTTATCCTTGCCCTTGCCCTTGCCCTTGCCAGCGTTGCCGTCGCCCTTCGTCATATCTCCTTTGGGCCTAGCAACTCGGCAGCCGCAGGAGCACCAGTAGCCGCGCGACTCCATCTGCGATATCCACCACCACATTTTGCACTGCTTGCACGTCGTCCACTGTGTCGGTGCCATGCTGCCGTGGTGGAGGTTCAGGAGGAGGCGGGCGTTCACCAGCTGGAGATCCTGTCGTGCCTGGCTCCTGCGCCTGCGGAGGCGCCTGTGCCAGGCAGGGGAGCGTGACCTCGTGGGTCTGCTCGGGCTGCGCGCCGTCGGCGCTGGGGGCTCTGCAATGGCACGGGCCGCGGCGGCCGCGGGGCAAATGCTGCGGCGTCGCGCGGCCCGCTGCGGAGCCACCTAGGAGGAGGAGGAGGAGGAGGAGGAGGAGGAGGAGGAGGAGGAGGAGGAGGAGGAGGAGGAGGAGGAGGAGGAGGAGGAGGAGGAGGAGGAGGAGGAGGAGGAGGAGGAGGAGGAGGAGGAGGAGGAGGAGGAGGAGGAGGAGGAGGAGGAGGAGGAGGAGGAGGAGGAGGAGGAGGAGGAGGAGGAGGAGGAGGAGGAGGAGGAGGAGGAGGAGGAGGAGGAGGAGGAGGAGGAGGAGGAGAGGAGGAGGAGGAGGAGGAGGAGGAGGAGGAGGAGGAGGAGGAGGAGGAGGAGGAGGAGGAGGAGGAGGAGGAGGAGGGGGAGGGGGAGGAGGAGGAGGAGGAGGAGGAGGAGGAGGAGGAGGAGGAGGAGGAGGAGGAGGAGGAGGAGGAGGAGGAGGAGGAGGAGGAGGAGGAGGGGAGGAGGAGGAGGAGGAGGAGGAGGAGGAGGAGGAGGAGGAGGAGGAGGAGGAGGAGGAGGAGGAGGAGGGGGAGGGGGAGGGGGAGGGGGAGGAGGAGGAGGAGGAGGAGGATGAGGAGGAGGAAGAGGAGGAGGAGGAGGAGGAGGAGGAGGAGGAGGAGGAGGAGGATCAGGAGGAGAAGGGGTGAGCAGGCGGAGGAGGAGAAGGAGAAACCGGGAGAAGGAACCTGAGGAGGAGGAGGAGGAGGAGGATGAGGAGGAGGAGGAGGAGAAGGAGCAGGAGGAGCAGGAGGAAAATTCGCCTGGCGAAGGACCCAACCACATGCAGTTGTGAGTACCGCAATTGTGAATATCTTCTTCGCTGGCGCTCCCTATGGGGCCACGAAGCGCTGTACTGGGTGGATGAAACGCAGGGAGCAAGGGCTGTGCTGGGTGGTGGCGGACGCATGCGGGCGGTGCCAGTGGGACCTTCGGCGGAGCTCCCTATGGGGCCACGAAACCTTATACTGGGTGAGGGCTGTGCTGGGTGGTGGCGGACGCATGCAGGCGG